GACAATGCAAACACTGGCGCGCTCTGTTCACACGGCGCGGCTCGGGAGCATGGCTCCCTACCGGCTCAGCTAAGAGGGATTGGGGGGCTTCCCCTCCGGATCCGGCTCAGCTGCATCTGGTCCCTCTACCCACTTACCTTTGGGGGATCAGCTGCTGCGGCCCCTGCTGCTGCTGTGTCCACCTCGGGTCTAGTAAGGGGGCACACGTGCGTGCAGGATACACGTTGTGCCTGGATCCCTCCTGTCCCTGCTGCTCCTGGCTCCATTTTGGTCAACCTGAACTGAAAGCTTCCACTGCAAGACTGATAACAGCTGCAAAATAAATGTGGAGAAAAATTTGCAACCAAAAGTAATTTTAACTCTAAAAATCAAAATGATTCATTCTGTAAATGCCAGGGCAAAGCCTTTCAGAATCTGGGGCAGTCCTTTGCTTCCTTTGAAGCAAACAGCTGAGCCAAATCAAGAGAATTCATTAAATGTTTTGAAGCAGATTATTCCATTTTCACCGCAAAAAGGCCTTGGCCATAAAATTTCACTTAGCTATATTCACAAGGAAGTAGGGCTGGAACAGCATCCTATCAGATAATGGAAGCCATTCCTGAGGTTGCCAGGCTTGAGTTCCAGTCCTTGAGAGCCTAAAACTAGGTAGTGGTCTGGGTTTTGGTGACAGCTGGGAAAAAACTGGTGCCCCATGGGAGACGTTGACCAAGGAACATTGTGACATTGCAGGTAATGCAGCCAACCACCAGTGATAATTTCACCTCATGTGCATACTTTATTCACAGGGCAGACCCATGAAATTACCATTTTGATCCACCTAGGACGTGCCCATTACCTGCTGCAGACAAGTCCCACTGTTCCTCAAAGGCATCTAGCGTTGGCTCTGGATTTAGGACTGAGAGGCCTTGTTCTCACCTAGATTGACCACAACCTCTCCATTTAATAATTGGCAAATGTATTGATACAGTGATAACAGAAAAATGCAATACAGGCAATCAAACAATTCTATATCTACTAAATCCTAGGGCTGTCATTAGAGTCAAATTACATCTGGCCAGACACAGTCTTCACTCTGAGTCTCTTTCTTAGGTGTCAGATGTCAGCAGCCTGGAGGTGGGATGCCAAGGCCCATGCCTCCACTCCCCGTCCAGTGGGGTGAATGAGACAGGCTGGTGGTGTGCCATCTGCCCATGGTGGCCTTAGGGACCCTTCCCAGGGGATGGGGACAGGCATGGGAAGGAGGGACAGGGAAGGGACAAGTCTCTGCTTTTGTATTCTCCTTCCCTCCTGATGACTCTTGATCCATGCGTTAATCACCGGTTGGTCCCTCTGCGTGGTTTAGTCCCCATAGCTTATTACATGGACACATACTCATTTGGTCTTTCCGGGCCTTCTCCTAATTGGTCTGATCTCCCAAAACCAGGACTCAGGCCCCCCTGCTCTGGGGCCTTGTTAGCTGGTGCCACTTTACCCCATGTTATGGAACAGTATGGTACACACGCCCTCGGTTGCAAGACTGTTTTCCAGACTGTGTGTTTTTGTTGACCTTTCTGCTTCCAAGACTATGTGAAACTGTGCGAGACCCGAGTTTCTTTTAGAAATCAGTTAACCCCCACTGCCCATCCTGAACCCCTATAAGCCAATTCCCAAAACACAAACCTTTAAATACCATTTCCTAAGCCAACATGTAGGGGTTGACTGACACCACCCAAAACAGTCTTCAGAAACTGGAGGTAACCAGAGACCAGACACTAGCCCCCACAAAATTCAGGGGCATACTTCCATGAAGCATCTTCCTGCTGATGGCACAGATAGCTTATTTACATGGAACTAGAAAAATGACAAACATGTCCTGCAATTCTTTGGGGCATGAAAGGATAAACAAAAGGTGGGGAAAGTACAGCCAGAAATTAGCATCAAGTTTTGGAGAAACTTGAAGAACTAAATTTGAAGGACAGTGCGTGTTCAACTGCATCTCCCTCTTGCCACGAAGGGCAGATGTCAGGGAACTTTTAGGAACCACATTGTCTGACCACAATCAAGTTGTTCCTCTGCCTCTCCTCCCACCATCCAGGGCAATGGGAGTGGTGCTCAAGGAGCTACACTTCCCCCCCTGCTTGGCAACATGCCCCAAGTGCACAGCAGCTTTGAGGGGTACAACCCTGCATTGCCACCCCCATGCAGCCATTAGCACAGGGGGTGCGTTGCCAGGCAGCGAAGAGCTCACAGTGCCAAGTTGCTTCTCCATGTGGCTCCATTATTCCCTGCTGTGCCAGGTCACACCCACTGGGCTGCAGAGGCCCCAGGGTAGGGAAGCAGGCCAGGAACCTGCACATGCAGCCCATGCCCGCCTCCACCCATCCTGTGCACAGATCTGGGGGCCATGGGTCGCCAGCCCCACCTGAACCTGCAGCACACAGCCTGCCCCACCTACAGATCTGGGGGGCGTGGGTCACCCCTGCCCCCTGCCAGTGCATGCCTGGGCAGGGAGCGGGGCTGTGCTGCAGCAGTAGTCCCCGGCCCCAAAGCCCTGGCAGTTGGGGGCCCCCTCCAGCAAGGGGCTGTGGCTGGAGGACAAAAGGCACCAGCAAGGCCACGGGACTGGGGAGAGCGAGAGGCACTGGTGGGGGGGGTGGGGGTTGGGAGCCATGAGGGGTCTTTCAATTTTAAATCAAGGATTTGGGGGTTTAATCAGAGAATTTACAATTTCTTTATCAGAGAAAAACCAGGAAGCCTGCATATCATCATCCTTTGGAGACAAATGAAAAGGAACATTGTACTATAATAGCATCATGCATCTTTACAGGTTGCCATTCAAAATGGTGAGCCCTGTTCCCTCAAACTTCCCTAAAGGTGTAAGAGAGCAACTTATAAGCAAAATCCTGCATACTCTAGGATTCCACGGCCATGAAGTCAATTGGATGTTGAGCGCCCCGGTCTAACAACTTGAATACCCTGGTCTTGAGCACCCTGGTCTAAAAGAACTTGAATAAATTTGGTAGGAAACACCTTAACAGACAATGATGCCTCTGAAACAAGTCTTAAAGCCACAACTTCTAAATTGTACTTTATTGTTTTCAAGAATGAGAAGTTACAGAATCTGAAACGAAAAGAAGACATGTAAAAAATAAATAACTGAAGATGAAGCATTGTTGATTTTGCTCCTACAGTGGCCCCATTACATTTTGTTCCTTGCTGCTCACTCTTCATTCTTCAGATTCTCCTGGCCTACGAATATCATCAATCTTCAGAATCATTCTAACAACTTGAGTGGCCAAAGAAATTTGTTGCTTTTTGCCAATCAAGGTTTCTATGACATGCTGTTGCTTCATATCTGTCAAGGAAGAAAAAATGTAAGTATCCTGGCCAAAAATCAGAACTACACATTAAGAGCACAGAGAATAGAATCATTTGAGTTTTACAATCCTATATAATCAAACCCATATTAAAACCCAGAATACAACTGCAGATAAATATTATTCTCTACTGCGTTTGAAGTGGGGTTTGGGGGAGGTCGAAGGGAAGAACAGCACATGTGCCAACTGAACTGCTGATATTACCTAGAAAAATTACACGCTTCTCTGAATCTCTCTGTATGGCCATTCAACAGCTTAAATTATAATTAAGTGAATGTAAAGTCTTCTTTTAAAAAGGAAACTCTTTAGAGTTTTAAAATTGCTTTAAACTTTCAAGTTGTTAACCTGGAGCCTAAAGCCCTACATTAATCAATTTTCTACAAAAATTCAGTTTCTCTACAAGATTCTCCTCCAAAATGTAAAACTATAAACAAACCATTATATTGCCACTCTAATTAGAGCAAGCACGTACATACATACATACATACAAGTATAGACAGTACTCTCTTACTGCACACTACTAAATGCTACCTTAAGTAGCATCACTTTCTGAGCAAAAAAAAAGTTAAGAAAGACTGTTATACTTCCAAAAGCAAGCAAATTTCAGATTAGTGTAAACAGAACTCAATTTTGACTATTACCAAGTACTTTGCTTACATGGTGTAACTACATATTTTCTAAGTTCTTTCATTACCTAGACTTAAGTGATCAACTAATAAGGCAAGAGCTTCACATCAGAATTCCATACATACTATACTAGGAGACGTTGGTTGCTCAGTTTTTTGTTTGTTTTTTTTCTTTTTGTTTTTTTGTTTTGTTTTGTTTTTTTTTTTAACAACTACAGACCAGGCATAAAGTCCAAATGATCAAACCTAGTTAATATCTCATTCACAAGATATTCCCATTCACCTCAGATTTGAAGGGTGAATACATACTATATTCACTTACTCAAGTGTATTGTAGTGAGTTTTTTCCCTTCACAAAAAAAAAAACAGCAGGCTGCAAGTGATCACACACATTAATTTAACATCAAGAAAAATTATTTGAAGCTAAATCAAAATGGTCATGGCATTTAGGAACTGATGGCCACTTAGGAAAATGGCATCTACAAAAATGCTATTAGTTCTCATATTATGTGGAGTCCCTACTCAAACATGGATTACTGTTTTTGATCTTGCTGGTCAACACACAACTTTGAACACATTTTCTTTTATTCAGAATAAGAATGCACTGCTTTTTATCAAAATCTCACTCCCCATTCATTAATAAAAAAACAAGTGAAATACTAAAGGATTGTCTACACACGGACTTAACGTGCCACAAAATTCAGACTATCTTTTCCCACCCCACCATTGCAAAATTTTCCTAAATTTCATGAAGAATAAATGAAATTTTCATATGCCAGGGAAAGACAAGTAAAAGCAAGAACAAGCTGAAAAGGGGTAAATAATTACATATTCTCATGAGGGAGTACAAAAAGACAAAGTACAAAAATCAAATCTGAGATGGTTACTGAGGCCCCTGGCAGATGTTAATATAATTGTGTAACTAGGACCTGTGAAACTTCATTCCTGAACAAAAACATGTGTCCTCCCATGCCAAATGTGCATGGCAAGGAACACTATTTCTGGGATTGGGCATAAAAATTCCTCAGATTCCAATCACGAGACTGCCAAAATTACACTGGAAGCTCAGCATCTGTCGTTTAAGGGGCAACTGTGTCCTGAACACTGATGCTGCCCCCTGCCCGAACCTGCAGATCAGTTGATCACTGGTATCAGCCCAGACCCAGGTCCAGAACACATGCCAATTATTCACTTTAATGTTCTACATTAAATGTGTAATATCTGTGTGTCTGGTTTGCTACTTTAAACGTGCCACGAATTGGCTAAAAGTGTGGCACATTACAATTTATCATGCAATTAACATGAAAGTTGCACAATACATGTAATGTTTGCCAGTAACCTCAGTCTCTCATATGCATAAATATATTAATATAATTTTATGAAATATTGCCTACAATGCCTTAGACTTAATTGTTCAAATTACTTTCTTCCCTCTGCAGGGGGACAGCATGGGGGAAAGAGTTGTAGGTATTACAGAGGAATGAAAGCAAGTAAAAGTCTTCATATGAAACAAATCTACTATCCGCATAAGTCATGGCAGGCCAATTAAGCCTTCAGATTTTTGAGAAAGAACTAAATGTGAGCTTCCTCTACAATAGACATAGTAGATCAAACACTTCTTACCATTTGTTCCTTTGCGCAGACAATCTATGCCAAGAGCAGGGTTGTTTTCTTTCACCTGTCTAGCTCGCACTTCAGTCATAGTTTGTATAGGGTTCATGCCACTGTTCTCTGCAAGAGCCATTGGAATGACCTCAAGGGCATCAGCAAATGCCCTCATGGCATACTGTTCCAGAGATGGGCACTGGGACACAAAGAAATACACAACTTGTGTGAACAAAGATTACCATATTAATGGTGAAAAAGTGTATATCTATAGTACAGAAAAGCATTTCCTAAAAACATGATTTATCCCCATCCCAAAGAAAGTTTGAGGTGCTTAAGTACTTGTTTCCATAACAATTTAAAACTGTATTAGAAAGATATTTTCCTTAAGTCAAAGGAAGTCCTTTTTACCTTATCTGCTGCTTTGCTGACTGCCAAAGCACAAGAGATCTCAGCAGCACCACCTCCATATACAATGCGATTATCACGAACAAGATTTCGGATTACACACAATGCATCGTGAAGAGATCGTTTTGCTTCTTCAATAATCTTTAAACAACAAAATTGTACCAAGTTATATTGTAACATGAAAAATTAAAGCCCGGAAAAAGTTATTTAATTCAGATTTAATATAAAAGCAAAGACTTCGTATTCAATTAATACTGAAATAGTCTCTTTTGATGTAATGATCAAGATATTCCCCTTTCACAGCTTCTACACAAAAACTTTACAACTGGGAATAAATCGGCTTTTAATGCACTTAAATTACATTTACAAATCTTTATAGATTTGCAATGGCTTATTCTGGTGACCAAAACTCCTTTCTGACCTGCAGCATTTCCAAGAGCAGGTGCACACGAGCAACTAGTTATCATAAAGTGAAAAGTGACAGGGATTTACTGTGAGTCGGCTACTCTGCAGTATCTGCTAGTATGCACACTTTTACCCTGGAAAAAAAAAGATGAAGGTTATCCTGTCCTGAAGTAGGTTAGCTTTTATTTAGCAGAGACAGCAAAACTAGCTAAGTTACTCCAACTTAGTTTTCTTTTGTTCACATGCAGAATGTGTACACAGATAGTTACTGCAGAGCAGTTCTAGGTGCAGTAAAATCTCCACCCGTTTTACTTCGCATTAATTAGTTCGCACACACATACTCCAACAGATTTTGAAGCTAACAGTATTTATGGATCATATTTTAGAAAAGTCAACTACCAGCCATCAGCTAAAAACATTTTATTTATTTAAAAAAATCAAACATTTTAAAGACTTAAAAAGGGGAAAAGATTTTCAGATTTATTTATTTATTTATTTATTTTTTTTAGGTATATCCCATATTTTTCCCTTTTTCCTACACTTTGGTTAAAGACAAAATGATGCATTAAACAGATTAGTTTGCAAAGCAGTAACATTTTGCACCTTTGTGCAGGAGACCCCCACTCTTACTTGTAAGCTGGGCAAGTGAAAATGAAGGAAGGCTTGAACCTCTAAAACTACTGCATAACTTAATTCATAGGAATAGTTTAACTGAAACCCAAAAAGGAATATCTGCAAGAATTACTCCAGTTTGTATAGGATCAGTGACTAATCATAAAGGATCATCAGCATTTTCTCTCTACAGCATAAGAAGTAGTACTTTTTGAAATGAGCTGCCACTTACAAGCAGTCAAGGAGACTACTGATTTTGTTTTGGAGAAAGAGACTACTGATTTTACTCCCCTCCCATCCATCAACTAATTTAAATAAGACAAGGCAGAACACAGACTCTTTTGGATGTAACTACAGATATAGCAGAGAGCAAAACAGACAGAAATTAGCAGAGAGCATGTCAAACTCTTATTAGCATGCTGAATCTCTCACCATCTTATTTCCTCCTCTAATGAAGATGGTCACAGCTCTGGAATTTTGACACTGTTCAATAACGAGCATCTTATCCTTTGTTGTTCCAAATGAGATCTCTCGAACAATACCAGCAAAACCTAGTTTCTCCGGGGTGAGTTCACAGAAACGTGGAACAATGCGCCCTCCAGTTGCGATGGCTATCAGCTAAAAAGTAAAATGCACATCGTAACCATCTTGAGAAAACATCTTTCAAAACACTTTTGCTTTGAGTTGATGGTAGAAAGTCGATCAGAGTCTTTGGACTTGCAGGCTTCCCTCCTCCCCCCAACCTTCTGAGAGTGAATTTAAGGGAACATCTTACTTCTACAGAGCAAAATATAGGATTTTAAATGTGAGGTAATACTGGTTACCTTTTCAGCTCCAGTCCCATTTTTCTAATTCAACTCCAAATTTCATCGTTTCTTACAATTTGTAGAGTCTGTATAAAGGTTCTGTCACTGAGCCCCAATGACAGACCACAACCCCATTCACAGCTGGCTTCTCTCACACATGCTAAAGTAGTTTGTTTTGGGGTTTTTTGTTTCTTTTTGTTTTTTGTTTTTTTTGTTTTTTTTTTTTTACAGGAGCTATCGGGACAAAAGTATGCAAAGTGTGGTGCTCTCCTCCAAAATGAAGCCCTAGAGTAACTGAACATTAGTACTGATGTAGAGTGAAATTTTAGAAAATATTACTTACTTCAATTTCAGGTCCACCAACCCAACGAACAGCAGGCAGCTCATTCTGAAGTAATAAGTGATTTGCCTCATCATCAAAACCCCACTGGCAAATAGCAAGGTTGGCACCAGTGTCTTTAATCTAAAAGTAAAACATTTCTGATGAGTTTATGACCAAATACAAGAACTGAGGAATAATTCCTGTTGAAAGGCTTCAGGTTTTGTATTGAAAATGGTCAACTTACAAACCAATATAAAAGTATTTAATGGGAACCTGAAAACACTGAAATGCAAAGCTTTCAAAACAATGACCCTGTAAACTTTAAAAAAAATTCTCACCTGTTTCACCATCTCTTCAAATTTTTCTTTTTCGTATTTTTGCAGTGCTTTGTAATCATCTACAGATGTTACATCAAGCTTATGCTTGGTTTTAGGCTTAGGTGGCTCAAATGGGCAAGTGAGAATTGCCATTTTAGCATCTTTAACTTCCTACGTGAGACAATGAAAATTAGGATTAATTTTCACCTTAGTATCTTTATTCTCGCACAAACATTTAGACATCATATTTAACACTGGCTTCCATTTAATCTTGGAAATGAGAGAAAAGAGTTCCTATTTTTCATACTTAAGAGGTGTTCAGATAAGGCAGTGGAAGGAACAACGTCAGTTCCTGAGGAGACCTTACATAAACCAGTTATACATGACATGAAAAGAAAGAAAAATATTCTTACTTTAGGCATTTGTGGATGGCTAAAATCTTTATCCACAATCACTCCTTTGATCAACTGGGTATCCTCCAGTCTGCCTCCCACTTTGCCTTGCACTTTGATCAGCTCAAAATCAACATCTTTGCGTTTCATATCGGCTACTGTCAAAATAGCATTTACTGCAATTTCTGCCATTTGTCTGTGGCAACGATTAACTCTAAATTTAAACAAAAAATGAGATTAGTTAATTTTTTTGAAGGGACTTCTCTCTCTGAAAAAATAATTTGCTAGTGGCAAACAACAATATTACTTAACTTTGAATGTTTGCTGTGGAACAACTGATACCCTGGTAACTGGGCTTGTACATGTATTAAAGATAGGCACGCAGGCCAGATTGCAGCTTGTGGAACTCTGTGATCTGGCCTGTGGGTCTTAGACCAAACCTGTATGCAGCACTTGTGCCAGATTAGCCCCATAGTTAGTTCCAGAGCTAGTTCAAATTGAGCCCATAGACTATTCCTGTTTGCGGGAGCCAGCACACAGGGCCAGTTTGGTGCAAGCGCTCATGCAGCACATGCCTTGTGCCAACCTATGTGTTATATGAGGTGCCCTGCAAGACTGCCCCTGCATGCTGCCTCTGGAGCCAGCCCAGATTCAGCCCACAGACTTGCTCCAAAAACTGGAGCCAGTGCACAGGAGTGGTCCAGTATGCACAGATCAGCTTTGGACACTCCTCTGGCTCATGGGGCCAGAAGAATTTGACACCCCTAGGTTAAAGGAGAGACAGAGAGAGGGAACATTTTTCTGTCCTGGTGCTGTATGTGGATACCACTTCTTGAATATCTTCTGGATATGGACCAAGTCCAGCAGGGAGGTAAGCAACATCAGCATCACAGAGCTACAGGGGTTGACATAGCTGTCACTCGCACCCCACCACTGAAATGTGTCCCCAACATGACTATGTACTCCAAAATTCAGGGACAGAGGTCTGTCCCTGCTGCTCCATGAGACCCACAAGCCAGATGACCTCTGGCCTAAGACAAATGGCAAATGTCACGTAGAAGTTAGAAAAAGTGTTTTTCTGCTAAAAGTTCTCTTAATGATGCTGGTATTCCACCTTAGTTAAGCAGCAGCAACAGGACTTACCAGTTAAAAATTAAACCAAGCATCACTTAATGAGAAAGTAGCACAAAAAAATAACTTCCCTGCCATTTCAAATGGAACTGGCTGCTGCAGGATACACAAAATTATTCCAAATAGTCTGACATCACCTATTACAGTGTATTTCCCTACCACTGAGTTCCATTTCAGATTAACCAGATTAAGTATGTTGAGTGAAGCTATTGCAACACATTAAAATTTTTCAAACTTTAAATAAAACCTGGTGCAAATAAGCTTGCCACACTCTATGAACACGTCTGTAAACAAACCTAGCCTAGATTACTGTTGCTACATTAGAATTCTTTTAAAGGTATACTTATTTATTAAAGCTTTTAGAAATGTCATATTTATATTATACATTACAACCTCTGTGGAAAAGGGAAGTGAACACACGTTTTTTAATCTGTATCTATACAGTTCACATACAGAGACCAATAGAAACCTCTCCTCTATGCAACTTTGAAACTATACTCTAAAACCAGATTACAATCTAATGCATTTATTTGTGCAATTCCCATTTTTTTATATTTTCCCTTCTCTGTTTTATTTGTCACCAGAACTGGGGCATAAGACAACTTGTATGCATCTGCCAAAGACCCAGCTTGCTTTTTCAGGAAAAAGGGGAGTACAGTACATTATTTAACTTGAAATCAAAAGACAAGACTGACTCCACAATGGGAACAAAGTCAACTTACTCTTACATAATTCATTTAAAGAGAACTGCAATTAAAAAGGGTAGGCGTATAGCTTTTACAATAAACTTTCCTAGAAGTCTGACAAATGTAATGGATTTTAAAGAGCATTTGTATTACATCTGGTATTGTCTTTCACAAAAAGAGAAGCAGAAACATACTGGAACAACATAAATGAACTCGCATTGCAGTACTTTGTCACATGTTGCTCATTTTCTGCTCCTGCATGGAAAAGAGTTTTTTGGTACCTTATGCTATCTTGCAAGTGCTTCCTAAACTTGACACACGTAACCAGAGCTGACGCTAGGCGTGTGTGGGGCCTGGGCCATATCAGGCTGTGGGGGCAGTGAGCAGCCAGAGCACAAAGCCAGTGGCTGCAGAGTAATGGCACCCCTTGCACATGCCAATGGTGTTGTCTGTGGGGCCTGTATGGCACTGTCTGCACACACCACGCCCCCTCCCACTGGGAACAGCTCTGTATGTAACACACTATATCCTAGCAAAAAAGCATATGAAAAGGTTCTTAGTTCACCCTCAAAATGCCTGAAGTACCAAACTCTATTTGCCAGGTTTTTCCAATGTAAACTTACACTTTAGAGCCCAGAGTTGTTTTTGCAGTCTGGATTAAAGGTTCAGTGTTCTGTGGATCAACTGGAAAGCTGTCACTGATTTTGTCTAGATGTTCAATGGCAATGCGAGCTGCCTGCTCATACCCATCTGCAATTCTCATAGGGTGAATACCACGATCTAACATCTGTTCAGCCTGCTCCAACAGAGTACCAGCCAGAACTATAAAACAAAATTCAGACAAGTTACTTTCACTGAACATTTTAAATGATTTGGACTAACAAGACCCTATGAGCACATAAAGATTTGGGTTAGTAGACCTGCTGCTGCAATGTTACAGTTTAAATGACACAGAAGTTTAGAATACATCCAATGGTCATGTTCTTTGGGAAGATATCCTATTTATTTCTTTTGCTTAAAAAAAA